TATCACAACTCTTTGATGGGCTAGAAAAAAATCCTGCTTATTAACAAATAGATTGATAGTTTATATATTTTTTGAAGAAATTTTATAGCCAAAGAATCCACTAACCCCATGGTAAAGACTATTAACCCCCTAAAACAGTGGTTCTAAACCAGTGGTGACTTTGTCTCCCAGTGGACATTTGGAAATGTCCAAAGACATTTTTGATTGTTATGACTGGGGGAATGCTACTGGATTCCAGTGGGTAGAGGCCAGGGATTCTGCTAAATATCCTACAATGCACAGAACAGCCACTCGCAACAAAGAATTATGCAGGGTCCCCGCTCTTTTTCACCCGCCAGGTCCAAAGGAGGAGACTGGGGAGCATGGGCCTGAGGTGACGGAATGCCCCTTCCGCGGATCGCAGGCCCTGGGGCTGCAGGAGGCAGCGAAGCGCGCCCGCCCGTGGAACCCGCCGCAGCCGCCCTCGCCGGGGGACAACTGCCAGCCAAAGTTGGGCGGCTCTCCGTCTGAGTTTCTTCTCCCTGAGCGAGGACTCTGGAGGGGAGCCGGGGACAGACGGTCTTCCCCGGGCAGATTCGCGCCCTAGAAAATCTCCTGTAGCCTCTGGGAAGGAAACGGATTGGAGCGGCCTCCACGGAGGCAGGCAGGCCACTGAAGGGTAGGAGATCAAGTGGCCCGGATGGGTGAAGACCTGAACCAGGCCGTGGCAGCGGGGTTGGAGAGATTTGGGAGGGAGACCCAAACCTGGTAAGGAGGGACTGGAGAGGAGAGCGGAGGGTGGCTTTGAGCAGGAGCTAGGAGGCAGGGTCTCCCGCTTGGGTGACTGGGGCAATAGCATTGAAATTTAGCGAGACAGGAGAAGTCTAGGTGAAGTCTAGAAATCGCTTGAAATTATCTGGAAGGTTTCAAACACCTGGGCCTCAGTGCCCTGAGCACCAGAGAGCATAGAAAGAATGTGTCTCTCTTCCTCCTGGCATGGCGAGGGCCACTTGAGGCTAGTTTTCACACCAGTAGAGGGAAAAAATCAGGCCCCACAGAAGGTGTAGAGGAGCTAAAAACCTTTACTGGGAATTTCCTTAGGCCCCCTCAGGACTGCCTACTTGGTAACTTGTTGCGGCTGCACGCTGGGGGTTCCCAGGGTGGGCCTGCTGCTCCTACCAGCTGTGTGGGGGCCTTAGGCTCAGGAAATAGGGCCTGGGGCACGGCACGCTCCAACCCAGGCTGTGTGCTGGTCCTGCCTCTGTCTCTACTCTTTCTGCCATGTCACACCAGGCAGGACGCTTGCCCTCTCTTCTGGAGCCTTCCCCATCAGTGAAATGTTCTCTGAGGCCACTCCCAGTTCTGGTTCTGAGTAGGAGATGCAAAGCCTGGGGAAGACATGCCTGTGTGTTTCTATATTCAGAGGACAGAGGGAGCTGGGAACCAGTCTTGTCCCACTTGTCAGCCTCTACTAGAATGGAAGCTGCCAGAGAAGGCCGAAACCACCCTGACCCAGCACTGTGCCCTGTGCAGGGAGAGGCAGGGGCGGCAAGGCTGCCTTCATGCATGCCATCTCACCAGCCTCCATATTAATGTTGCTGTCACTGCCTGTGCAGAGCGAGCGAGTGAGAGATCACTGAGACCAGGACTGAGTCCTGGAATCCCTCCAGGGCCTGTTGACTGGCAGGTACAAGGCACAGAGCAGCCAGTCAGATCTGTCCCCTGCCTCCTGAATGGACACTTAGAGCCCCTGACTCAGCTCTGGGCAGCTGCAGAGGTCCCATAGTCTCTCTCATAGGCCCCCACACAGCTGGTAGGAACAGCAGGCCCACCCTGGGAACCCCCAGCATGCAGCCGCAACAAGTTACCAAGTAGGCAGTCCTGAGGGGCCCTAATGACCATGCCAAGAGCAGGGGAGGATAAGTTAAGTCCCGACCTCAGCCTCAGACCTGAGTCCTGACCCCAGCTCTAGACAGAGTCCTGTACCTAGTTCCCAGACTAAGCACTGTCCCACAGGGTCCCACACAGGCCAGAGTGTGGCTGGGGGGTCAGCCTGTGTCATCCCTGAAAATAGTCTCCTTCATGTGTGGGGCCATGCTTAAGCTGTTAACTCTGCTTGTCACCAGAGCCACTGCGGAGGACACAGCTATCTCAGGAGGTGGTGAGCTCTCAGTGACCAGAGACCAAAGACTTCTCGTCTCACATGCAGATTTCTGCAGAATAGAGGGTTAGCGTGGGTGACCTGGATTGCTGTTAACCGGGAGAGCATATGTAACAAATGTCCCTCTGGGAAGTGACCATTTTGATGTCAGAACCAAAGGCTATTCTGTATCCTGCATGGACATTTGGGTCCTGAGCACAGACCCACAGACCCAAGGTCCCCTGGTCTCCGGGATGTGGGGCCATTTCTTCATGGATCTTACTATCATAGGCACAGTTGTGGGTTATTCTAGATGTGACAGAGGGGAAACTGGAAAAGTTAGCCATTTTCGAAGAACTGATTTTACATCTCACTTTAGTGTTTGCACATAGGTAAATAAGGAAGAAATTAAAATGAGCCCAAACTTTCCTCAATTAAATCAAATCCAACTACAGATAAACAAAGTTTAGAGACTCTTTGCTAACTAAGGAAGCAGAGGTGGGTGGGAGGCCCCTGGGATGGTAGCGGGTGGTTTCCCAGGGCTATGGGCCAGCCCTGTCCCAGACCAAGGCCAGACATCCAGGGAGAAGTATTTGGGACAGTATGTGTGTTCACGGGCTGGTGGGGACAAGTCATCAAATAAGTTTAAGGAAGTGTGATGGGTGCTGTGACGACCACTGTGCATCATGGGCAGCATGGGGTGAGGGAGGTGCCTCTGGTGCCCTGCGCCCAGCCCATAGCCCACCGCTGATGTCAGCTGTGGTAGCAGTGGACAGTTCCAGGCCAGGTCAGATACACCTATTGCACAGCCTAACATGTGACATCAAATAGGTGTGCAGAGCACAACAGAACCACCGTCACAGTCACGCATCCTCACCAATCATACACATTCTCTCATTCAACTCCCATCACTCAAATGTCAGCTGGAAAACAGGATGTAAGGGGACAGAGTGTGTCTCTGCATCTCTGAAAGGCTGTCCTCAGTTACGCTGCATAGACAGGGAGTGTCCCAGGCAGAGCTGGGGCAAAGTTGTGGGGTTTCCTGGGAGTTGCAATGGGGCTGTGAGGACATGGAGGCTCAGGAGGGGCCTGAAGGTGCACAATTCTTGCCCTGTGGCACTGGGGACAATGCCCCCAGGCCAGACACCCCCTCCCCACCCTATGCCACTCCACCTTGGGACAGAAGTGGCTTGGTGTCTTCATGTCGAACCATGGGACCAGGCTGTGGGACTAGAAAGGGCCCTCAGAGACCATCCAATCCCACCTTTTACAGATGGGCAAGTGGATGCCCAGAGAAGGAAAAGGAATTCCCCTCTCCCACCCTGCCGAGCCACTGCCATGCGGGGACTTGAGAAATTAAATCTGAAGCCTGAGGGGCTTCCTATCAGCTTCCACTTCCACCTCAGGGCCAAGGTTAATGAAGCGTCCCCACAGTGGCTGCTAGGCAGCGTCACCAGACGTGTGGTGGATGAATATTTAATGATGTGGGGAACTGTTCACTCTGAGTTATGAGAGGAAAAAGCAGGTTGCAACACCATGGACACGGCATCATCCCAGTTTTGTAAAAAACTCCACTTCCACCTCAGGGCCAAGGTTAATGAAGCGTCCCCACAGTGGCTGCTAGGCAGCGTCACCAGCCGTGTGGTGGATGAATATTTAATGACGTGGGGAACTGTTCACTCTGAGCTATGAGAGGAAAAAGCAGGTTGCAACACCATGGACACGGCATCATCCCAGTTTTGTAAAAAAATAAAAAAGAAAAAGAAAAACAATTCATGAGGTTCTATGGCTCCATAAACTCCTGGGGGATATAAGACATTATAAAAATTCCTGGGTTGTAGGATAATAAGTGGTTATTGTCTTCTTCTTAAAATT